CAAAACCACCTCAAAATCAGCCCAAAAATACCCTCAAAACCAGCCCAAAACCACCTCAAAATCAGCCCAAAAATACCCTCAAAACCAGCTCAAAACCAGCCTGAAAATAACCTCAAAACCAGCCCAAAACCATCTCAAAAGCCAGCCCAAAATGATTCCAAACCAGCCCAAAAATCAGCCCAAAACCACCTCAAAACCACCCCGAAAACATTTCAAAACCACCCCAAAAATACCTCAAAAGCATCTCAAAAAAGCAGCCCAAAAAATCTCAAAACCCAGCCCAAAACGAGTCCAAACCAGCCCAAAAGCCACCCCAAAAATCCCCTCAAAAATCTCCCCCAAACCAGCCCCGAACCAGCCACAAACTCCTCAGAAACACCCAAAAATCGTCCCCAAATCAGCCTTCAACAGCCCAAAGTCCGCCCAAAAGTTCCTCTGGGTGTCCCCAGGTGTCCCCAGCTGTCCCCAGGTGTCCCCAGGTGTCCTCAGTGTCCCCAGGTGAGGTGTGGGTGCCCTCGGGCAAGGTGACCACTCCAGCCCCACCCAGGTGTCCCCGGGTGTCCCCAGGTGTCCCCAGGTGTCCCCAGGTGTCCCCAGGTGAGGTGCGGATGCCCTCGGGCAAGGTGACCACTCCAGCCCCACCCAGATGTCCCCCCAGCTGTCCCAGCTGTCCCCAGCTGTCCCAGGTGTCCCCAGGTGTCCTCAGGTGTCCTCAGTGTCCCCAGGTGAGGTGCAGATGCCCTCGGGCAAGGTGACCACTCCAGCCCCACCCAGGTGTCCCCAGCTGTCCCCAGGCCCCCCCAGCTGTCCCCAGGTGTCCCCAGCTGTCCCCAGGCCCCCCCAGCTGTCCCCAGGTGTCCCCACGTGCCCCAGGTGTCCCCAGGTGTCCTCAGTGTCCCCAGGTGAGGTGCGGATGCCTTTGGGCAAGGTGGCCACTCCAACCCCACCCAGCTGTCCCCCCAGATGTCCCCCCAGGTGTCCCCAGCTGTCCCCAGCTGTCCCCAGGTGTCCCCAGGTGTCCCAGCTGTCCCCAGGTGTCCCCAGGTGCCCCAGGTGTGCTCAGGTGTCCCCAGGTGTCCCCAGGTGCCCCAGGTGTGCTCAGGTGACCGCGGTGTCCCCAGGTGAGGTGCGGATGCCCTCGGGCAAGGTGGCCACTCCGGACATCACGGACAACAAGGACGGCACGGTGACCGTGCGCTTCGCGCCCAGCGAGGCGGGGCTGCACGAGATGGACATCCGCTGCGACAGCATCCACATCCCTGGTACGGGATTTGGGGGAATTTGGGGGGATTTGGGGGGATTTTGGGGGTTTTGAGTGGGATTTGAGGGGAGGTTGGGGTGGTTTTGGGAGGTTTTGGGGTGGTTTGGGGGAGCTTTGGCTGCACGAGATGGACATCCGCTGCGACAGCATCCACATCCCTGGTACGGGATTTGGGGGGATTTGGGGGGATTTGGGGGGTTTTGAGTGGGATTTGAGGGGAGGTTGGGGTGGTTTTGGGAGGTTTTGGGGTGGTTTTGGGGGGTTTTGGCTGCACGAGATGGACATCCGCTGCGACAGCATCCACATCCCTGGTAAAGGGTTTGGGGGGGATTTGGGGGGATTTGGGGGGTTTTGGGGTGTTGGGAACCCCAGGAGAGCAGCCAAGGCTGGGTTTTGGGGTGATTTTGGGGGGTTTTGGGGTGCTTTGGGGTGGTTTTGGGGAGTTTTGGCTGCACGAGATGGACATCCGCTGCGACAGCATCCACATCCCTGGTACGGGATTTGGGGGGATTTGGGGGGATTTGGGGGGTTTTGGGGTGTTGGGAACCCCAGGAGAGCAGCCAAGGCTGGGTTTTGGGGGGTTTTGGGGGGTTTTGGGGGATTTTGAGGGGTTTTGGGAGGTTTTGGGAGGTTTGAGGGCAAAAAAAGCCATCAAGGCAGCCCCTGCAGTTCTGTGTGGGTCATGGGGTGACTTTGGGGTGACTTTGCGGGTGTTTTGGGGTCACTATCCCTATGGGGGATTTGGGGACAGTTTGG